TCTTTATGTGGCTTCAGCCACTCACATTATTCTGTGGATGCCCCTTTTCTATTTGGCAGAAGCTCCTCATTTCAGCGTGCCTCCTTGCCAGCTCTCAGGGTATTTCGTGAACGTTAGGTTATTGGATAGCTTTGAATCTTACACAGGTGGCTAACATGTAGGTCTACACATGCCAAAGGCATCATGGCCAGAAGAAAAGTGTCTTGTAAAAGCATCTAATGAGGATTGGCTAGGACATGGCTTAGGAGTGGCTGGGTAGTTACATATTTACTGCTTAAGCCTAGTGTCCTAAGTGAACCTTCCAATTACTGTTTCATAAAGCCAGGCACCCTCGAAGGAAATGGAGCTGTTAAATCTTCGTGCTGCTGATGAATGCAGGAGAGAAGGGTTTTTAGCATCAGTCATAAATGATTAACAGCTGCAGTCCTCTGTTCTTGGGAAAAGCAGTGCTAATGCCACAAACAAGTGTGTATGTTCTATTTTGTGGTTTTCTTCTCTTCCACAACATCCAGAAGGAAAAGATCCAGACGTGCTAAAAGATGTGCTCCTGAGAATAATAGCAAAAGTACGATTTGTGGAGAACCAGAGTCAAAATGAAAGCCCCTGGAAAATTCTGTGAGGTCAAATGTTCAAGACCCAGTATAAAAATAAATGTGACAGGGATATCTTTTAGACTTGCCTGTTAATAACGCCTGTGGCCATGGCTGGCTCTGATGGGTTTCAGATTTAAAAGTGCTTGGCAAAGAAATTTATATCCATTTATATTAGAATCTGTATGCCCCCTACTAAAAGAAACCAACTTTAAAGGATCACACAGGGCTCATGAAAGCACAGACTGTGGGAGTAAAAAGAGAAACATAGGTGTTATAAATTCAGGGTCAATTTAATTTAGAAAAATGAGATGTGATGAAAAGCACATAGAAATGAGATTAGAAGGCTGAAGTCAATGCGTATTTTGACATTTCCTATGTGGGGACGTTGGGAAAGTTTCTAAGTTGCTGTTTCTACATCTGCATTACAGACAAAATATTGTTTCCTCCTCCTGTCCTCTAGGGGGGTCGTGGGTATGGAATGAGACCACGCATGGGAGACTACTTTGAAGAATGAACTCCCTGCAGGTGGCCTCACTGTTCTTATTAAGAAGAAGAGAGAGTCTGAGAGTCTGTGCTATGGAGACAGACAGTCCCATGTGTCACAGCAACTCTGCCCCTCTTCTTAGTAGCTTTGTGGCTGCAGGTGAGTTGCTTAGCCTATCCAGGCTTTAGTTTCCTCAGACAAAAATGGATGTAATAAACACTACCTCATAGTTGTTTAAAGGATTAAGAGAGAGAACGTGCATAAACTCAGATATTTTTGTTTGTTATTTCTAAGCCACGTCTCATGCCCCTGAATGTGTCAGACCTATTTGTTTATTAATCATAAAAGCGCTTGAATTTCAAGAGACTAAGTGGCCCCAGTTTATTGAGTCGTATACCAATAGGTCTGGAATTTCTGCTGGGATTCTCTTGATCAGACTACTTAACAAATTATTTTGGAAATTTTAAGAACCCAAGACCTTGAAAAATACCTGTTTGAATTCACAGTATGATGACTGGCGTTCCCACGAAACAATGAATAGGTTCTTACAATTTAATACTAAGAAACACAAGAAAGCCTAAAGTATTTTTAGACGCTTTTTTTCTTACGCTGAACAATTTTCCTGCAGCTACATTTCAACTAAGCTTCATATGTACTCTTCTTTGTCTGCAGTTTTCTAGTGCTAAAGAGAGAGAGAGAGAGAGAGAGAGAGAGAGAGAGAGAAAAGAGGTCAGTGAGATTCCGTAACTTTTAATTTCCTAAGCAACCCAAGTACATTTAAGAGCATTCTGAAGGTTTGTGACTCTCCTGGTGGTGGCTGGAGCTCTAAGTCAGCAAGGTGACCCAACTGCTTCCTACAGAGATAAAAACCAGTATCTTCTGGCCTTCGGTTTGCACAAGGAACCTCTGGAGCAAGCTTAGCATGAGGCACTGGGTGCCTAACGCCCCTCTTGAGTAACTCATTTCCAGGAAAGCCAAACTTCTGTGTACTCGTTACTGTTCTAATGTCTCTCAGTCTTGGATTCCGGTGGAAACTCTACTTATGTGAATAGAAGAACATCACAGATGATTTTTATCATATTGAGCTAAGGAGAATTTCCCTCCTATAGTGGTTCTCTCAGTAGAACCAGGCTACTCTTACTATTCTTTTTTTTTTTTTGAGAGGGCATCTCTCATATTTATTGATCATATGGTTGTTAACAACAATAAAATTCTGTATAGGGGACTCAATGCACAATCATTAATCAACCCCAAGCCTAATTCTCAACAGTTTCCGATCTTCTGAAGCATAACGAACACGTTCTTACATGGTGAACAAGGTCTTAGATAGTGAATAAGTTCTTACAAGGTGAACAGTGCGAGGGCAGTCATATCACAGAAACTTTCAGTTTTGATCATGCATCATGGACTATAAACAATCAAGTCAGACATGATTATTCGTTTGATTTTTATACTTGACTTATATGTGAATCCCACATTTCTCCCTTATTATTATTATTATTATTATTATTTTTAAATAAAATGCTGGAGTGGTAGGTAGATGCAAGATAAAGGTAGAAAACCTAATTTAGTGCTGTATACTGTTACTATTCTTTGCATGACTTGCATCTGTACTTGAGAAGAAAGCGATGAGGAAGACCCCACCCCAGGCTGGTGGAATCCAGCCTGCATCTTCCCCAGCACAGTCTGCCCTGACCGACATCACTCTTGCCGGGCACATCAGAGGCGGACACACTGGGACCTCTGCAACCATGTGTGGTGTCAAAGAAGGATCTGCTACAGGCTTTGGCTTGACAAGCTTTCAGCCATTTTCCAGCTTTTTGGAAGTATTACTGTATTTTCCACATAATGGATATACATTTTTTTTTTATGCTCTCAAAATGTGGTCTATGAGAAAGACAGCATGGAAAGTTGCCTACAGGATTCTAGTTTCTGTACATTTCTGTGATCTACACGTAATGAGTTAGGACCTGGGCTCAATTAGGAGATGAATTACCACTAACACATTACTGGGTGACTGAACTTTATGTACTGTGGGGTGTCTAGGCATTCAGACAACCAAAGCTGATGTCATACAAAACAGTGGCTGTGAGTGTGGTCTCAGAGTCACAATGACCTGGTTGAGAGAATTCATTATTAATTACTAGTAAAATGCAGGTATTTTTGCAGTTCAGGAATAGCAACAAACTGACAGACTCCCCCGCTTGCACCAACATGCACACACATGTGAAACTTTCCACAGTGATTAAATATTTAAAAGATAAAACTTAGTTCTATCTCCATGCTTCTAAAAAAACGTGATAGTATCTAATTCTTTCAGCACCATAGCCTCTTTTGTAAATATAATATTCAACTTTTTGGTGTATAATTTACATATGACAGAATGTACCTCTTTACCTGTACAGTTTGATGAGCTTTGTTAAATATATATACACCTATATAATAAACTCCATTCTGATCAACATGTAGAACATTTGTGCCACCACTGAATGTTCTCTCCTGCTTCTTTACATTTTGTCCCACTCTCTTTGCCCCATATAACCACTAGTCAGCTTTAGTTTTGTCTCATTTAGAAATTCATGCAAATGGAATTATATATCATGTACTCTGTGTCGGTCTTCTTTCACACTGCATAATGTTTTTGAGATTCATCCGTACCGTATGTTTGCTAGTGGTTGGTTTCATTTTATTGCTGGAAATGGTATCTGCCTTCCTATGGTGAAAAATCCTCTTTCCCTACCTACATTGGTACATTTAACTCATTTGTTGGGAGCACACAAACTATTTCAGAATTATCTTGCAGTTCATTCATGTTGTTTTGATCATATTTCTTCCTATTTTATAACTGCAGGTAGAAATGTACAGTAAGTTAAGTGTTATAAAGTGGTCTTAAAGAACTAGTGGGCTGCAGAAGTTGGTCAATAGATGGCTTTGGTGGTTTGCTGGGATGTGACCATTCTCGTCTTCCTAAGCTGGGCTTTGAGGTGGTCTTTGTTCGACTCCAGTGTCCTGATAAAATTGCTATCATTCTAATATCTTGGCACTAAGCATGTAAAATGCTATAATAAAAATAGGTTCTATTTATGAATTCCTTGCTCTGTGTGACTAAGCACTCTATACTGTATCTTCTTGTAATAGCCCTGAAAATTAAGTCTTATTGAGCACCTAATGTCTGCCAGCTCTCATATCGTTCACAGTCTGAAGGAGAAAGTAGATTTTAAGGAGGGTATGATACTTGGTATGCTAAAACTGGGAGCTGTGAGAACACATATTGTTACTGGCTGAGATGCTGTTTTTCCCAGGACCATGACTCAGAGGTGACGAAGAATGCATCTAACTGACAAGAATATATAGCAACCAGCAAAGCTCTTTTAAAGAGTGAAAAAAAAAGAAATTCTGCTAGTCAAGAGGGGCTCCAAGGGAGTATGTTGTCAGGGCTGTAGTGTCTAGGGTTTGTAGAGCTTCCTGAAAGGAGGAAGTCCCACCTGCTCTAATAGATAACAGAACGAATTACATCACAACTCACTCCTGAGTGGCTGAAAGTTACAGTGCCTCATTTGCATAGGGCATAACCAATCAGGTCTAAGTGTACTTTTGAGTGGATCAGTTGGATTAGAGCTTTTCGAAACCTACAAGGGTCTTGAAACTTCTTGAAACTTATAAGGGCCCTGAACCTCTTTGTACCTGCATCCCACCATCATCTGCTTCAATATTAGGGGGATCTAATCTAATCTTAGGGGCAACTAAGATCTTGCCGAAGAAGTGACCTTTTAGCAGGGACTTGAAGGACAAGTAGAGTTGGCCAAGCCGGAAAAGGGACTCAGAGTGTTTCAACCTGAACAGCATGTATGCAGGGGTGGGGATGAGAAAGGCCCTGGCATGTTGGAGGAATTGATGAAAGTTTTTGTGTGTTTGGAATCCAGAATTGCAGGTGGAGGGGGGCCAGCCGAGCCAACTGCACCTGAGCTGGGATCAGAACCATGGTGGAGGCCTGCGGTTTAGGAAAACAAGAGTGAGTTTTGAATATTGTTCACTCTCGAAGACGGTGATGTGTCACAGTGCCCAGGTGTGAAGATCCAGGGAGCAGCACATGGTAAGGGAAAAATGTTCAGTGGTTTCTTGGGTTTATCATTGGAATAATGTGATGTCACTTCATTTACAACATTCACTTTATAAATTACTTTAGTGTTTAAATTCTAGTTAATATCTTTCCCTCCTAGGAAAATAATTCTTGGTCTTACAGGTGGTCTTTCCAAGGTAGAGTTCAGGGCATATGTAATGTGAGGGCTGGTTGCTGGTGTCATGCTGTCTTTAGCTAAAGAGAGTTTAACTTATAATGTTGTTAGTTTGGTAATTTTCACAGGCAATATTTTATTTTTGAAAGTTAATGGTTATCACACAGAACACTTGTGTATGAAAAATCCAAGAAATTGATGGAAAAAAGTCAATGATAAATATCTGTGTATTTTAAGGGCAGCATTTACATTGAAAATTGTGTTTCTGTTTTGCATTTATAGTAAGTGAATAAATCTAGTTTTGCAAATTCTCAAGGCAATTGTGGGGAGACCAAGGCAAGTTTGGCCATGAGTCATATTGTGAAACAAGGCACAGCAGAAAAGAACTGACACCCACTGAACCAGAATAACACATATTGAATATGAAGGTGTGTAGGTTGCCTGGTCTGCTATAAGATTCAAATAATGTTTGTGTTTCTGAATTCTGTCCTAACATAGAATAGAAAGCCATGATGGAGAAACCATTATACTTTCTTGAAATGAACAGATTAGAGATTCACAGAATATGTATTATATGTTGAAATTACTTTTAGAATTAAGATGAAGTTATTCACACCGGTATTACTATAATATTATGGAAGTTAAAATATAGGTGAAAACTGAGAATTGGGTCATTGATTTGAATCCAACAAAATGTTTACTCAAAGCATATGTGTAATATAAAAATAAAGTGTTGGGTACACATTATTGGAATAATAAAACATAGAGAAATGGATTATTTAAAGATGTTTGTCACCAACAAGCTATCAGTTGGATAGAAACGTTTTCTTTAAAGTTTCTTTTTGTCATTAGAAAGGATTTCCAGGTATAAATTTGGGTTATTAGAATCGTCATAAATGTATAAGGGTTCAAAAAATCAGTGTTATGTTGCCAGGACTACAGTTCCTTTGAAATGCCAGATATTTAAAGGCTAATTAGAAGTAATCCGAACAGATTTTATTTCCCCCTTGCTTCCATTCTTAATGTTTCATAGGGCTCATGAAACCATCTTTAATCTTTCTCGTTTCCCCTTTGCTTGCAGTACTTTCCTGGGGCGTGTTTCCCAGGCTCCCCACTAACTGCTGGGCCATGCAGGCCTCATTCTGGTTGCTCTCATCAGCCCCAGCCTGGAAGGCAGCCGCAGCACCTTGACCTATCCTGTCGCCCTTTTTTGCATGTTCTCTATCCACGGGTAAACTTAGCACCCTGGACCGTTGTTATCATGCCCTTTCTGGGTCAGGAATCTACAGAGGCTTGCTTTGTTTTGCAGCCTAAGTCTAGACCCTTTGATCAGCTTTCAGGACCCACGCTACCTTCTGTTTTCTTTTCACCAACAATTAGTTCTTCTTATTTTCTAACATGAATGAGCTATACATTTCTTGGAGTCATTCAGCAAATATTTAATGAGGAAAAGGCAACATCAGATTAGTGTTTGGGAAAGATGAGTCTCTGTATGTGCCCAAAGCAGCCGTGGGAGGTCCGTCTGGGGCCAGGGGAAGAGCCCCGGTGGGCGATGATGATGGCTTGAGGCAGGGTCTTGACCATGGAGATGGAGTGAAATAGATGCTTTGCAACTGATTTGGGAGGTGTGTGTCCCCCACACCAGAAACACATCGGCCCCAGTTCTTTTACCTTCAAATTCCACTTGAATGGCCACTTCTTCTGGTTATGTGACCCATAAGTCTCAATGTGTGGTCTGGAAAATTTTGTTTTGTTTTTTCTTATTTCTAAAAGGAATATAATCCTGCCCTAAATAATTGTTTTAAGGCTTAAGTGGTTCCACGCTAGTAAAGATTTTAGTTCAATGCCTGGCACCCAGTAAGAACTCAAAGTTAGCAACTCGTATTGCTACTGTGTCTTTCCTGATTAATCTACGGCATTTGGTTTACATATAGAGCAGAGCCATGTACTCTTAGAGCCGGAAGACGTCTTAGAAACTGTTGTGTCGTGTTCTCTCATTTAAACACTTAGATATTTGTGTAGGCAGGCGGAGAGGGAGGTGATTCTCAGGGGGCTCCAGAAGCAGAGCCTGGGGCCCCCGTCTCCAAGGTCAGTGTCTTTGCCTTAGACCACAGACCTTTCCTGCACATCAGTATGTTTTTTACCTCAAGTAAAATTTAAGCAGCTCGAGGGTGAGGCGCCCCCTCCAGTGATTGGCCCAGGGCTCAGCTGGAGCTCTCGCACGGAAATGCCCGCTGTACGGTGGAAATGAAATCTGGTCCAAGATGTGACAAATTAGGTGAAATGGATTTGAGGGCTAAGCCATTTTCAGTTCCTATTTGCCTCATCATGGGAGAGGTTGAAGCAACCTAAATCGGTAATACTTTATTTAATAGCCATCTTAACAAGCGTGTTTTCTAAATTTATGAGATCTAATACTCGCTAATGATCTAATACTTGAATTGCTCTCTGGAAGAAGTGAAGCAGTTCTGGGGCTGCAGTAATACGGCTGGGTTACCTCTGACTCTACGCAGATCCAGTTCCCTGGGTCCTGAGGGAGAATCCTGTTCGTGTCTTCTCAGGTCCCAGTGAAACCAGCACCAGCAATTAGAAAACACAGACGCAATTTTCCATTGCCGAAGTAGAGAGACACCAAGCAGTCTCTTGCATAGGGTTTAACTGTTGAGGTTTCTTCACTAAGTTGTGCTGTGACTTAGTGTTACTTAATCAACAATGAAAGATTGAGAGAGAGAGAGAGTGATTTATTCCTCTGGATTTCTGTATTAAGGAGAAAAACCTGACATAATGTGCTATTTGTTTTTTGTGACCACGTAAACCTGAGCATTCCTTGTAAGTGGCCTAATTGGGATCAGTAAACTGTTTCTCTCCCTCTGTGTAACAAGGACAAATTAAGTTTGCCAGCTCAGCTCCTTAGTAGTCGCTGGGTGAGGATTTTGAGACTTCCCACAGGGAAATAAATTTATTCACAGTTGCCGTCTTCAGAAACTTTTAGTCCTCTGCTCATGGTGTAAACAACGTTTTATATTAGCTCTGTCTTCTTTTCTTACTCCCCTGATTTCATATTACCTTTCTCACTCTCAGTGTGTCTATTTTTTTTCAATCTTCTCTTATATTACCTCAGTTTTTAATAATAAACTTTGCTGTTAAAACTTTCCAAGTTATCCCCCAAACAATTATAACTATAACAGCAAAAGACTGTCATGTTCTTGTCATACCTAACACTAAGAATACTGGTTCTCAAAGAGCGGCAGGCTTTTAGAGCTGGCAGTGATGTTAGGGAGGTTGGCAGCCATTTGGATGCTCTTGTAGTCCAGTGCCTACTTACGCCCTGTGTGCCCCGAAGGAGGTTGACTTGTGTCCCCCGAAGAGATCCCTGGAACCTGTAAATGTTACCTCACTTGGGAAAAGGGGTTTGCAGATGTGACTCAGCTAAGGCTCTTGTGATGGGAGAATAATGCAGATTATCTGGGTGAGCTCTGCGGGGGCTCACATGCGGTCTTGTAAGAGAGGCAGGAGTTAGGATGGACGGCAGCTCTCACAGCTGCAGTTCTTGGCCCTTCTGGAATTGCGCTTGCTGACAAACGTCTCTGCCCCTCTGTCAGCCATTCTAAGTGCTTCTCACTCCCAGCTCTCACTTCCACGGGCCTTGGTGGTCTACCTGTGTGATGTTGTGATTTGTATAAGAAATAAATATTTGGTCTTCTTCCTAAACAGAGCTACTAAGACCCTGGGAATTTCCTCAGTGATAAGAGGGATAAGCTGAAGGCAGTGTTTTGTCATCCAAAACAAACACCTTTTAACCGTGCCTGTGCTTATGTTAACCAGCTGGCTTTGCAAAGAACCTAATGGTGGGGGGCTAGTTGCTCAGGGAACCGAGCAGGTTCCAGGGAACCGGCCAACCTTCAGCTCCACCCTCCTGACTTCCAGGGAAGGGAGGGGATTGGAGGCTGAGTCAGTCACCAGTGGCCCACAGGTTCATCAGTCATGCCTCTGTAATGAAGCCGTCGTAAAAGACCTCCGTGGAGTTCAGAGAGCGCTCAGGTTAATGAATGCCTGGAGAAGCTGGGAGGGTGCTGTGGCCCGAGAGGGCATGGAAGCTCCACACCCCTTCTCTCACACCTTGTCCTCTGCATCGCTTCCATCTTGCTATTTCTAAATTGTATCCTTGTATAATGAACTGGTAATCTAGTAAGTAAACTGTTATTCTGAGTTCTGTGAGCCATTTACAAATTATTGAACCTGAAGAGGGTGTTGTGGGAACTTCCCATTTATAGCTGGTACCTCAGAAGCGCAGGTGACAACTGGACTTGTGATGGGCTTCTGAAGCGGGGGGGGGGGCCACCCTGTGGGACTGAGCCCTGTGGGGTCTGACACTGTCTCGGGCAGATAGAGTCAGAATTGAGTTATTTTATAGGGCACCTCGCTGGTGTCAGAGAGGGGCTTCGGGCCGTTGCTGCTTCCCGTCTTTGTTGCCTGAGTCTATGTGTTCTTCCTGTGAGGACAGAGCAGCAGAGAGAGGCATCTGGGGGACAGCACTTCACTGGGAAGGGAACCCCTCTGAGCTGGTGCTCTGCCGCACTCTCAGCAGGATAATAAGTACTCCGTCAGACTGGCTGCTTCTGGCTGGTGTGGCATGTGACCCCGTGACCAAGGGCCCACTCCCGCTCCTGCCCTGTGAAGGGCTGCGTTGTAGGGAGTCAAGCTTTCTGTAAGCCCCTGGGTAGTGATGCTGTCTGAGGCTCAGGGCTAGCAAGGCAAGCATATGGCTGCAAGTGCTGTCTTTCCTGTGAGAAGAAACCAGCAGCCCTTCTTGCGCAGGAAGGGCCCGGGATAGCAGAGAGGGGTAGTGCCACTGGGC